TTGTTGTGTCTTCTTCCTTCCCCCCCCCCCCCTTGAGCCCGCACCGCGCTCAGCCAGTGAGCGAGAACCGGTCTCCACATGGGATCCGAACCCTCGGCGGGAGCGCTGCCGCGCTCCCAAGTGGCGCACTCTCCAGTGCGCCACTGGCCGGCCCGGGAATAAATAATTTTCAATGTGTAATTTTTCAACCCTTTTTTATGCTAGTTTCAGGACAATTTAAAAGAATAATAAAGATATCATTTTCACATTTTTTTCAAACTACTCACCCCACTTCAGATATTGGAAATGAATCTGTTTTTAAAAACAATTCTGATTAAATGAAAATCTGTTTTTCTCTGCTGCCACCAAGCGAACAAAAAACACAAACAAACAAATCTGTGAGATATCTATTTAAGTAACTACCAAATTGCTAGCTAACTCTAGTTGCCCGCACATCTTAGACTAGCCCTGTTTCCACCCATGTCTGACAGAAGCTAGCCCCATCTTATCCTACTTTCTTCTCCAGCTAGCAGAAGAAGTTGCATAATGCCTTTTAGCCAAATCTACTTGGTGTGTAATCTTTAACCAAAGCTGTCAATTTCTAACCGACTCATTTCACAGTTAAGAAATGAAATCCCAGAGAATTTCAAAACATTGCCTAAATGCATGAGCTAGTGAGAGGTGGAATTGGAACAAAGCCATTTAAAAGTATCCTGGCTTTAAGGATGCAATGCTCATGTCCCTGTGTTACACTGCTTTTCTAAAAGAAGAGGTGGGTCATTAAGCAAAATGCATACAGGATAGTTTGTTAAAATATGGTGGATATTTGTTTATACTTTTCTGGTTTCAAAAGAAAAAAAAAACTTAAATGAAATTTATAATTTACATTCAATAGGCATGAGAAATTGCAGCTAAAACCATGCAGGTAAGGAGAAGAGGGCAAAAGGAAAATGAATGTAGGCAAATATGATTAAGTTGGGAATGAAATTGTTGTGAGAGCTGTAAGAATTTAGTTGTTAGACATGGGTCAAAATTCGGCTCCAAGTTTCCTAGCAACCAACACAAAGAAAGAAATTGCATTAATACATGATTTATAGTTCTATTAGAATAATAGTCCGAGGAAAGAGACAAAGAGAAAATTCTAGTGTTCTTATTATAGGGAGATTGCCTAGAATATAGGTGAGCAGAGCATTAATTTCAATCGATAGAGAAAATTGACCAATTTTTATTGAGAATTATGATGTGCCTGAATGCCTAAGAAGCTTAATTAATATGTTGCAGTTTTAACTCAGCACTTTAGGGAGGGGTCTGAAATAGAATTTATCCTATCGATTTAATGTGTTATAGAAAGAAAGGTTTCTGTAATCAGGGGCTGGCTGTACACAAGAGGGTTTAGATCCTGCAATGCTTCTTGAAACCTTTAAAATTGCCATAGTGCATGGTGAATCGCAAAGTTAGGTGGCTCATTTAAAAATTCAAAGAAATTTATCAATGAACTAGTGTTTTATGGAACAGAATTTGGGAAATGCTGTGCTGGAAATCCTAAACACTGCCTCCTTCACATTAGCATCTTGATATCTCATCTGTATATTTACCTTTTTCTGTATAAACATGGTAAAATAAATGACATACAAGGAGAGGTACTATGATTATGTAACAATTAGTGATTGCTGGTCATTTTCATTCAGGAGGCGGGAGGAAAAAGTGGGGCCAGAGTTTTCACCGGAGAAGTAGGAGACTCTCATGTCCGTGGAAGAGGAAATTTGAATCCATTGTGCGCCATCTCTTTTGCTGCAGCAAGTAATAAATCCAGCTTTGTAAGATGTCTTCCTGTGGTACGTAATAACATGGATAACCTCCCAACAAATTTCTTTTTATAAATTTTATTTTATTTTGTCAGTATACAATGTGGTTGATTATTGTACCCATCACCAAAACCTCCCTCCCTCTGCCCTCTCCCTGCTCCCTCCCAACAATGCCCTTTCTGTTCACTTGTCCTATCAACTTCAAGGAATTGGAATTGTTGTGTCTTCTTCCCTCCCTCCCCCCACAGTTGTTTGTGTGTTTATTTATTTTTAGCTCCCACAAATAAGTGATAACATGTGATATTTCTCTTTCTGTGTCTGACTTGTTTCACTTAATATAATTCTCTCTAAGTCCATCCATGTTGTTGCAAATGGCAGTATTTCATTCTTTTTTATAGCACAGTAGTATTCCATTGTGTAGATATACCACATTTTCCGTATCCACTCATCTGATGATGGACATTTGGGCTGGTTCCAACTCTTAGCAATTGTAAAGAGTGCTGCAATGAACACTGGAGAACAGGTATCCCTTCAGCATGATGATTTCCATTCCTCTGGGTATATTTGCAGCAGCGGAATAGCTGGGTCATATGGTAGATCTATCTGCAATTGTTTAAGGAAACTCCATACCATTTTCCATAGAGGCTGCACCATTTTGCAGTTCCACCAACAATGTGTGAGAGTTCCTTTTTCTCCACAACCTTGTCTGCATTTATCATTCACAGTTTTTAGATATTAGCCATCCTACCTGGGGTGAGATGGTATCTCACTGTGGTTTTGATTCGCATTTCCTGAATGCTGAGTGATGTTGAACATTTTTTCATGTGTCTGCTGGCCATTCGTATATCTTCCTTTGAGAAATGCTTATTTAGCTCTTTTGCCCATTTTTTGATTGGGTCACTTGTTTTCAGTTCCTTGTATATTCTGGATATTAATCTTTTGTCAGATGTATATTTTGCAAGTATTTTCTCCTACTCTCTTGGTTGTCTTTTAACTCTGTTAATTGTTTCTTTTGCTGTGCAGAAGCTTTATTGTTTGATATAATCCCATTTGTTTATTTTTCCTTTGGTTGCCCATGCTTTTGGGGTCATATTCATGAAGTCTGTGCCCAGTCCTACTTCCTGAAGTGTTTCTCCTATGTTTTCTTTAATAAGTTTTATTGTTTCAGGGTGTATATTTAATTCTTTAATCCACTTTGAGTTGACTTTAGTGTATGGTGAAAGGTATGGGTCTAGTTTCATTCTCCTGCATATGGATATCCAGTTCTCCCAGCACCATTTGCTGAAGATTCCATTGATCAGTGTGTCTTTTGTTCCTTTCTTTCTGATTTGCTGTTTGTTTTCTGTATTTGTTGGTTCCTTGGGTTGTAGATAAACTTTTTTTTTTCTCTTTATTGTTGGCATTTTAATTTTACTAGTGGGTTTTGATTTTTCTTGAGTTTTTACAGCAGTGATAGTTATTTTTCAGGTAGCAAACCCTGTACTCCCTTGAGAATTTCTTGTAAGGGTGGTCGTGTGGTAGTGAACTCCCACAGTTTTTGTCTGTGTGAGAAATATACTATTCACCTTTCATTTTGGAAGGATAGCCTTGTGGGGTAGAGTATTCTTGGCTGGCAATCTCCCTTTTAGTATTTTGAATATATCATCCCATTCCTTTCTGGCTTTTAGGGTTTGTGATGAAAAGTCTGATGTTAGTCTGATTGGGGCTCCCTTACAGGTGATTTGATGCTTCTCTCTTGCAGCTTTTAAGATTCTCTCTTTGTCTTTGAGTTTTGCCAGTGTGACTATAACACATCTTGGAGAAGACCTTTTTGGGTTGAATACGTTTGGTGATCTTTGAGCTTCCTGGATCTGAAGATCTGTGTCTTTTCCTATACCTGGGAAGTTTTCTGCCACTATTTTGTTGAATATGTTTTCAATACAATCTCCTTTTTCCTCCCCTTCTGGAATACCTATGACTCAGATATTTGAGTGCTTAAGGTTGTCTGATATCTCTCTCAGAGTTTCTTCAATGTTTTTAATTGTTTTTTCTTTCTTTTTGTCTGCCTGTGTTATTTCAAGAAACCCATCTTCAAGGTCAGAAGTTCTCTCTTCTGCTTCTGCAAGCCTGCTGGTTAAACTCTCTGTTGTGTTTTTTATTTCATCGAATGAATTCTTCAGCTTGGCAAGCTCTGCTACATTCTTTTTCAGGGCATTGATTTCCTTGTACATTTCTTCTTTCAGGTCCTGTATACTTTTCCTCATTTCACCATGTTGTCTAGCTGAGCTTTCTTGTATCTCATTTAGTTTCCTTAGAATTATGAAATTGCTTGTCAGACATTTCAAGGGCTTCCTGTTCTATAGGATCTAGAGCTTGAGAGTTATTACCATTTGGTGGTGTACTTTTTGATTTTTCATATTTCTGGTATCTTTCCTTTGATGTTTAGTCACTGTGGCAAGGGATTTTACCGCCCACTGGTTTTACACTGTTGCCTGGCTAGGATGCTGCTGGGGCTGCCAATTTGGCATGGCTGCCTCACTGTCTGCTCTGTTGTCCACTAGTGCCTTGGGTGTGTGATCACCTTGGGTCTTGGGCCTCTCTGGGGAGGCGCCTCTCTGGTCACCATGCACTCGGCTGGGCTGGGGATGGAGTCGGGGGACAGTGGCAAGCCCTGCCTGCTGGGTTGCGTGCTGGCACCACAGGGCGCATAGTCTCTGCAGATCTTGGGCCTCTCAGGCTGGAGATGGATTTGGGCAGTGGTGACGTGGCCTACCTGCTGGGTTGCACACTGGCACTGCAGGGCGTGTGGTCTTTGCAGATCTTGGGCTTCTCCGGCTGGGCACCTCTCTGCTTGGCGCACACTCGGCGGGGCTGTGGATAGAGTCAGGCGGCAGCGGCGAGGCCTACCTGCTGGGTCACATGCTGGTACTGCAGGGTGTGTGGTCTCTGCGGATCTTCAGCTACTCTGGCTGGGCACCTCTCTGATCAGCGTGCACTCGTTTACTGGAATTTTCTAACTAGTCCAGAGAGAGAGAGCACGAGAGTCATGATCATATTTCTATGAAGTTTTCCCTATGTTATTAGATAGTGATTTATAATTTTGGTCTTGAAACATCCTCTCATATCTCCAGTTATCTTAAAAAAATGCCATAATGTTTAAAAAAAATCCCCAAAGAAGAATATTAAGACATGTCTAGAGGGCTGTTAAAATAATCCCTTCTCTTTTTCTCTTTCCAGGATAGCACCATGCCAAACTACAAACTCACTTATTTTAATATGAGGGGGAGGGCAGAAATTATTCGTTACATATTTGCTTATTTGGATATAAAGTATGAAGACCACAGAATAGAACAAGCTGACTGGCCTGCAATCAAATCAAGTAAGTAGCACAAATAATAGTTCATGAAAATGTAAGGAAAAATATACTTTCAGTACCTTTTGTCTTTCCTCAGGGAAGTGGACAAATAAGTGTTTTTGATCTCACATAGCTTTAAATTGAGAAGCAGCAGTTCAGGCAAACTAAATAAATGCTATGTGATTCAGCAAATTTCCTATTAGAGCTAAAAACAAAAACTTCACAGAAAGAGAATGAAAAGATAAACCAGTATAAAGTTTTGTCAGAAGAGCTGAAACGGACATGTAAAACAGGTGGGATTTTTTTTCTTTTTATCTAATATTCTATTGATATTCGAATTCATAATATTACATATTAATATTATGTGTTAATATTATATTAACATTTTCATATTAATATGTAAAGTACATAGCACATATTAAAACTTAATATTCATTAGCATTGATAATAATAATTTTGAACTCTTGTTCTATAGCCAAGAATAAATACTGTGAATACAATACAGTAAAAATAAATAATTAATTAAATGAATAAAAACATATAATGACAATTATTCATTTAAAGTTGTGAGTTTATAGTTTATTTTCTTTTCAGGAAGTCTTATGAAGAATATTAATAGAATATTAGATAAAAAGAAAAAAAATCCCACCTGTTTTACATGTCCATTTCAGCTCTTCTGACAGAACTTTATACTGATTATCCCATCTGTTTTACAGGTGGGATAACTAAAGCACACAGAGTTAAGGTAATTTTTTCATTTTCACAACACTAGCAAGTAGAGTTGAGTTTCAAACCCTGGTCAATTTAAGACCATGGCCCAAGTTATTTGCACTAGACAATGCCAGCAACAATAACACTATGATAATTGGTATATGAGCAATAAATTACCACATGCCTTTTGGAAGCATAAGTGCCTTAAAAGTCATTGCCCCTATAATCATTCTCTTTTATAGCAGAGACCTCTTCTCTGGTGAGATAGAATATTTTATTCCCTATTCTCATGAAACTTTACCATTAATATCCAAATGTTTCTTCTGATATCAGAATTTGTACATGGGATTTTAAGATGGTGGACGTATAATAGGAGAACATTAATTTTATCCACTAATTAAGGTGGATAGCAAAGTCAAGATGGATAGCAAGTTGCAGGGATAGTACGTACAATAAATTTTGCCTTTTAGCTTTTAAATGTAAGTTCTTTGAGTGCCTCATACCCTATTCTACCTTGACATTTTATTGTTATTGAAAAATAAAATTTCCCCATTTTCTTAACATTTTCATAGATCCTTAGAGGTGAAAGGAAACTTAAAGTTTGTGATGGTTAGGATATACACAGTTTCAAATGCTTTAATAGACAGAGACTCAACATAAAATTGTCTTAAATAGAAATTTCTTTTGTATAAAAACCCAAGTTGGTATAGTGATTTTGCTTCATATAGTTGTCAAAGACTAGGTTCCTTCTTTTTGTTGATCTGCCACCCCTAGTTGTCTTATTTATTTACACAGTGTAAAATATTTCATTCTTTCCGAATTCTAGCTCATGGGAAGTGTGTGTGTGGGGGGGTGTACTCCCCTTCCTTTTAACGACATGACCAGAAAGTTGCATGTCACTTCCGCTTACATTCTCTTGGTGACAGCTTATTCACATGGTCACATATTATTGCAAGGCAAGCTGGGAAATGTTGACTTTATTGTGGATAACAATAAAAATCTGGGCTATTATTACTTTGAGAACAAAGGAAAGAATAGGTCCTGAGAAGTTTCTATTCCAAATGTTATTTGGTTTCATCTCACATGCAATTCAGCAGTGCTCTCTAGCATTGGAAACTCTCTATGATATCCTCTTTGTTGGCATCTGCAACTAAATCTCCAGTCAACACATTCCGTCATTGGATATTTCTATTAAAAAGTTCTACCTGGACAAACCTGGTAGATTGCAAGCATGAGTTTACATTTTATCTCTCCTTTAATAACATTAAAAAAAAAAAAAAAAAGACAAAAGCCCATAAGGATAAGAAAATCATGCTTGAATACGATAGCCAAAATTCTGGAAGCTAGAAAGTAGGTCAAAGAATGGTAAGGTGACTCAGTAGGCTGGTGAAGCTCAAACATAAGCTGGAGGAGGAGAAGGCAAGCTGAATCACTCCAGAGATGCTGAAAAAGGCTGAGGAGTCAGTGACAGATAATCCTAAAAGCTGAGCTGTTAGAGGATTGACTGGAAGAATGTGAAGAAGCAGTATTACCTCCAGATCCCTTTTTCTCCCTGGAAGAAGCATGGAGGTTACTCTCAGAAGATGATGGACTAGAGAATTCTGGGACAACAGGCGTGTCTGAGAACACAATGCTGTAATGATGATGGAATTCAATGGAAGTCTAGAAACTAAATGGTGAGACCCATAGCCCCTTTCCTCTGCTGTACAATCACAATACTGCAGCCAGGCTAATATCCCTTGTCGGGGAGGGGGGGAGCCGGCCCCCTGACAACTAGCTAAACCGCTTGGCTCAAGGGAATGAGGCTGAAGATTACCCCCTGCCTCTTTCTCCCTGTGCGAGAGGGAGCGGGGCCGGAGAGCCCAGGAGATAGGTAAGTGCAGGCACTGGCCCCAACCCGGCTTGCAAAGGAGCACTCAGATGCGGTGGGGCTACTGTCAAGCAGTTCCGTCTATTCAACTCAAAGCCTACATATTTATGCATAAATGGGCTAAATGGGCGGGGGATTCTGGCGTCGGTGGGGGTTCTGTCAAGCAGTTCCGTCTATTCAACCCAAAGCCTACATATTTATGCATAAATGGGCTAAATGGGTGGGGGATTCTGGCGGGGATCTCCACCTAACAAGCCAATCACCCTATAGGTCATGCGTGCATGCATGGCTCCTGCCTATGCTTATAGTAAAGATCATGAAGTGTCCACGAGCCCGGAAGGCTCTCTGCACCAATGATGCTAAGCCCAGTAAATGGGGTGAGGTTTTACCGACACCATAGTCACTCCCCCTTTACATCCTCCAGGCGCCATCCTGAGCACGTGTGAAAAACAAAGAAGGGAACAAGCAGTCGTCATCAGGTGTAGCAACCATCTGTGCCAGGAAGGTAGCTGCCACCCAACACAGGAAGGTAGCTGCCAACCAACAATCCCTCAGGCAGAAATTGGAGGAGTTCTCTCTGTGGAAGGTGACCAGCTCAAGAGAAATGTCTAACAGATACTGAACAAATGGGAATCTCTCCACGAAATGGCAAGCCCAATCTGTGGGCAAGCCCCTCCCATGCATATGGAGCTTCCAGTTAGCTTTTATTTCTTTGCCCTTTAAAACAGAAATGGCAAGCAAAAAATCAATAGATATTTAAGAAAAGTCTCTAATAAGAAACAGACCTAAACAAAGAAGCAGAAAACAAACAAACAAGGGCTGGCCCGTGGCTCACTCGGGAGAGTGCGGTGCTGATAACACCAAGGCCCCGGGTTCGGATCCCACATAGGGATGGCCGGTTCGCTCACTGGCTGAGCGTGGTGCTGACAACACCAAGTCAAGGGTTAAGATCCCCTTACCGGTCATCTTTAAAAAAAAAAAAAAAAAAGAAAACAAACAAACAAAAAAAGCCCCCCAAACCTCTGAAGAAACCAAGATGATTTAGCAAGAAAAAAAACTTCAAAAATATTATAAAATCCTCAGAGAAAAAAGAGAAAACATTCTGTATGTGAAACCAGAATAGGATGCTATCAAAAGGAATGTTCAGAGACAAAAAGTTCTTGAAAACTAAAAATATACAAACAAAACCAATCAATAAAATAATGAAAAATAAGGAAATCCCCCAGAAAGTATAACAACAGGAGAGAGAAATAGAAAGTAAAAGAATAAAGATAAGGAAAATTGAGGATCACTTGATTTAGGAAGTCCCACATAAAAATGAAATAAATTTTGGGAAGAGAGAACAGAAAATAGAAAAGAGGCAAAAAAAAAAATTTTTTTTTTGGGTGGTGCAGGGTTCTGAAACCTTGACCCTGATATGAACAACACTAGGTACTATCCAAGTGAGATAACCAGCTAGCCCACAGGCAAACTTTCAAAAGAATGTTCCTTATTCAAAATTGAAATCTGTCTCCTTATGACTGTCATACATTGGTCTTCAACTTCTCATTTTAATCTACGGAGAACAGTGAAGATAAAGGTCTTAGGCAAAGTTCAGAAATGAGTCCCCAGTTAATTCCTGTATCTGTACCTCTACTTAGATAACAACTTTTGGAACTTCCTGGATTGTGAATTTTAGTCCAACTTTTCCACTCCCCTCCCCCTCCCCCGACTCTACTACTTAATTTAGATACTGTTTCCCATGGACTATCTATCTGACATGTGCAAACACATCCAGGTCCGAGGGACAACTCTGTTCTCTTCCTTGAGTGTTCCATTTATATCTCTGGTTCAGATTTCCTCATCACCCGAGTAAGGTGTCCTCTGAACAAGCTCCTGTTATATTGTCTGCCATTTTATATGTGGTGCCTATGGGGACATACTATATTCCAGCATAAGAACAGTGTACAGCAAAATGAGACCATCACCCCATCACAACTCTAGGCACCATTCTGAGACATTTTATCATGATCCCAGTAGTTATTTTAGCAGCCATATCACACTAAGGCCTCATATTCAATGTTACTAAATTCCTTAAAGCTTTTGACAGGTGCTCCTGTTAAGTGACACTTCAAACAACTTGAGTTATTACTGCTTTTAATGAAGGACTCAGCATTTGTCTTAAATTTCTTCTTGTTAAAATGTAGCCCAATGTTCCAGCTACTGGCAATTAGCCCAAGATTGGCTGAAACACTTCTAGTGGCTGAGAAATCACTACAAGAAAACACATTCCACTGTCAGTAGTTCTAAAGCTAACACAATTATTCTACATCTTGAGTTAAAATCTGCCATTTTTTTTTATTACTCTTTGGCTCTAGTTCTGCATTTTAGAGCTAGTTAGATTAAGTCAAATTTTCCTTCCATCTGATAGCTGTGCCATAATTGAAAATGGCTGTTACATTCTACTTAGCTCGTTTTGTCTCCTCTAGGTAAATGGTTCCAAAGTTCTTTTACCAATCCTCATAAAATGCATTTTCCAGACTCCTCTCTAACTTGGATACTATATTCTGGGTTTGCTCTGATTTTTAATATCTTTCTCAAAACAGGGCTCTCAGAACTAACAGAACAGCTGAGGAAAGGTTCCAACTGATCTCAGTTCGAATCCCACCCTCCCAGGTGTGTGACCTGGGCAATTTACATAATCTCCTAACCTCATTTCCTTATTTGTAAAATGAGATAATAGTTAACACCAACTTCATATGGTTGTTGTAAGCACTAGAAAACCTAATGGGCATGTTAAATATTTAGTACAATGCCTAGCCAAAAGGAAGCCCTCCCCAAAATGTAAGGCATGTTAATTCCTTCTTGTTTACCTACTTTGCTTTAAAGATGGCACGCTAATTCATGTCTACCCATCTGGTACTTTGTTTTGCTCACTGCAGTGTCTCAGGCACCTAGAATAATACTTGGCACACTCATTAGATAAGTATTTAATGATAATTTTATTCCTGATGTGAACTGTAGTTCATCTTACTCAGTATGCATATGAAAGTAACTTGAAGGAGATGCACAGAGTTGATTCCAGTACTTGTTTGAGAGTCATGGTATTATGAGTGGCATTTTATTCATTCCCCTCTTTCCAAAATAATTACATGTCCAAAACTGAGGCATTGGTTGGGAAAATTGTGATCAATACACATAGCAAAGTACTACACAGTCATTAAAATATGGTGTTCCATTGATTTAGAAAGCTTTTAAAAATATACTGTCAGATGAAAAAAATTGTTTACAAAACATTATACACATTATGATTTTGCTTTTTAATATATATTGGAAATCAATTAAAATATAAAAATGGTTGTAACTGTTGTAGAATTATTTTTATCAATTTAGAATTTTTTATAAATGTATGTTAACTCAAAATGTAAATCAGACTCTTCACAATCCTCAGACTATGGTTTTAAATAATAGTTAATGTGATCTGTGATAGAGGTCACAAAAATTAATGAAGTTTCAAAAGAAAGGTTTTTAAAAAAGTTAAGTGCTAAGTATATGAGGTAATATACAGTGTAGTATACAGTATCACCAAAAATCTGGGTTTTAGAACCAGTTCTGTCACTAACTACATAGTAGGTTCTCTAGCAACTTATAAAATATAAAGATTCCACTATAGGTTGTTCAATGTCTCTTCAAGAATAAATATTTAAGAATTGCATGACTTTAGGGCCGGCCCCATGGTGCACTCGGGAGAGTGCAGCGCTGGGAGCGCAGCTACGCTCCCGCCGTGGGTTTGGATCCTATATAGGAATGGCCGGTGCACTCACTGGCTGAGCGCGGTGCGGGCGACACCAAGCCAAGGGTTGTGATCCCCTTACCGGTCACGAAAAAGACAAAAAAAAAAAAAAAAAAAAGAATTGCATGACTTTAAAATCATGCTTTGTTTCTATATTCATCAGTAAAAATGGAAATATTATAAGTTGATTCTTTGCTCATTTTATTTTAAGCTCTTCCATTTGGCAAAATTCCCATTTTGGAAGTCGATGGACATATCCTTCACCAGAGCCTATCGATAGCAAGATATTTGACCAAAAATACAGGTAACATGTCTATTGTGTTTAAGATTTTTGATAACTGAAAAAATACATGATATATACTCAGTATTCATTGATTGACTTTATTGTTGAGCACTATAGCACAAACAAGAATGAAATTAAATGCTAGAGAAATATAAACGTGCCATCTGTACCAGTTTAACTTCCTATGAGTTCCCTAGACAACTGGATAATTTTATTTTATACTACCCCCTGCCCGTCCTTCCTCACACCTCATTGTCCTCAAGCCTTTTTTTGGAATTCAGCAGAAAAATTGTACAGGTGTCTCATGCCAAACTTTGGTAGTATGTACATTATAAGTTATCAGAGAAAATTAATTAGTAGAAAATATATATGGCTCATGGAGGTTGAAATTTCTTAGACTATTAAAATCACATATTTGATGACGTCCTTTACCCTAATCATGCTGAAAAAACAGAAGTGAAGTCTTTGCCTCCACTGAATGCCATCTAAGACATCTTTAAGTGTGTAGTTGACTTCTGGGCTGTTTTGTTAACGCCTGCACCCAAGGCATTGATGAGAAATAATAGAAACTGTTAGTTCTTGTCTTTGCCTGCTACCCTTTCTCCCTTGAGGCAGGGTGTGAGGACTCCACTTCGGGATTGCTGAAGGAAGTTCAGGATCCAAAATAATACTTAGAGGCATATCCAAAAGGAGGCTGAGGATATAGGCCTGCAGTTAAGGACTAAAAATGTTGAATGAGGAATCATCTGCTTAAAATTGATAGCTGAAGCCTTAAGTGTGGAAGTCAAAGGAGGGATGCAGTTGATGAAGAGAACCTAGGATAGAATTCTGAGAGGCTTTTCAAGGTCAGAAACAAAGAGTCAACCTTTGAGTATCACACACACAAAGTACAGATAGATAGTTTACAGAGAAATTCTAATCACTAAACCATTTCCTTTTACTTTGAGCATCTTATTGATGTATAATTTACATGTAATTCACCCATTGTCAGATTTTTAGTAAATTTATACAGTTGTAAAAAAGCAATCCACTTTACAATGCTTCTACACTGAAGCATTTTAAATCGACACCAGTGAGAAAATATTTAGGAAGACCAACAATTCATTAGCAAAAATAATGATTGATAAATGGCAGGAAAGAAAAAAACAACTATTATTTTAAACTTTAGTTTACAGGCAAAAAACTAATACTCCTGACAAAAATTGTCTACAAAAAAATTAATTATTTTTACAAAATAAATTATAATGTATGTACAGATTATGTACTATAATATCGCTTGTATTAGCAAAATATTGGAAACAAACCTGTCAGTTGAGGCTAGTTAAGTAAATGGTGGCAAATCCGCCTTAAAGGAATCCCATGTAGCTGAAGAAAGGAGCAAGGACACCCTGCAGGTACTTGTAAGGAAAGATCTCTATGGTATTTGGAGTGAGGGGCTTATCTAGTGGGATATATATTCTTATTTGCTTGCACTATCATAAGGAAACAATGAAAGAATACCTAAGAAACTAACAAAAGTGGCTACTAAGAAGTCAGGTGTGTAAAGGAGCAAAACGAGGTGGATGGGTGGAAGGTAGTCTTCACTGGATGTTGTTTTATATTGCTTTGTATTGTCGGCCATATGCATATATTGCCTATTAACAAACAAACTTTTTAATGTAATAAATTAAATTGAGCATATTGGTGGGCCTCTCTCTATTCCTTAGATTTGGCTGGAAAAACAGAAATGGAACAATGTCAAGTTGATGCTATTGTGGACACACTGGACGATTTCATGTCACGTTTTCCTTGGGCAGAGAAAAAACAGGATGCAAAAGTAATGGGATCAATTTGCTATTATTACTATTAATCGTGTATCACTTGCCAGACACTGTGTTGGGTGTGTTAAAAAATTCCTTTTTATTCAAAGCAATATGTATATATAGTTTGAAAATATCAAATTACATTAAAAAGCTTCAAACAAAGTATGGTAATTCCCTACCCTACTCCATTCACACTAACTCCTCCCCAGAGACAACCCTCTTTTAAATCCTTTTAGATGTTTCTTTGGGATTTACATATCTCCATATTTCTATAGGATATGAAAATATGGTTTTCTTTGATTCACCAATTTTAGACAGTTTCTATGGACTTCATATGATAGTAAAAAGAGTTAATCTCTTACATAGTCTTCCTCTCTGCTTCCCTTTCCCCAGCTCCCAATATAGTGATATTGAAATTTTGGGGTTAAATCAGTATCCAATGATTACATTAGTATGCCTATACAAATGTTACACAGAACTGTGCATTGTAGTATAGTTTAATAATATTTCCTTTCTCACTTTTCCTCCTCAAAGTTAGTATTGCCTTTTCCTTTGGCTTAATTCTTTTTATTTTTATTATTGAATTTTCCCACACTATCCAATAACGTGCCACTACCATTTTCCACAAGGTCAGTGATATAAGATCATCTGTTCTCTCCAGTGTTTTCTGAGAGCTGTCTGGCCTGGAGACCTCTGTTCTCCATAGCAGAGCTCTCTTAGGTTTTCTGCACAGCCATCATCATCGGAATTCCTTTCACTGCCATCCCCGTGATGTCATTCTCTGAGGCAGGACACCTGCTTCCTGGGTGCTGTCCTCTTTTTTTGTTTATTCCATTGTTTATTTGGGGCACATCCTCTTGGATTTTCATTGTAAAAAGGAAGGTTTGATGACGGGGGTATGATGATGACAGATGGTATGGATGTCTTGTGAGTCAGACTGCTTCAATCTAGTGTGGTTGCCCCAGACAATTGGTGTACAGTTGTCCTCACAAGATTTTTATTATCAACCAGAGTGTTTCTTTTGATCCTTTCCTGGGTTCATTCTCCTGTATTTTGTCCTTGTTTTTTGTGGAACAATTCCCCAATAGCTTACTGATCGTAGGAAATAAAAGTCTGGGGCTTTATTTATCTGCAAACGTTTTTATTTCATCCTCATACTTGTTTCATAGGTTGGCTGGGTGTAGAATTCAATGTTGAAAGTAATTTTTCGTTAGTATTTGGAACACGTTATTTATGGTCTTTTAGCTGTTGCAAAGTTTGAGTCCACTGGAACTACTGATCTTTTGTATGTGATCTTTTTTTCCCTACTCTAAAAGACTTCAGAATGCTTGCCCTTAGAGTTCTACAGTTTTACCATGATGAGTACTGGTATGGTCTTGTTTTCATCCATTGTGCTGTCTTCCTGTTGGGTCTGTTCAATCTGGGACTCAAGTTCTTTATCGTAAGGATATTTCCTTTAATTATTTCACTGAAGAATTCCTGTTTATTTTCTTTGTTCCATTATACTAGAATTCCTGTCATTTAGACGTTAGATTCTCTATTTCCCATCTCATTGGTTTTTGCATTACTTTCAGGAAGAATTCTTTGACTTTATTAATCAGCCCTGCTCTTGAGCTCTGAATTTCTGATACTGTGTTTTAAAATTTATATGGACTCTTTTTGTGGTGTTTTGTTTTTCCTTTTTAAAATATTATTTTATATTTACTTTGCTGTGAGGCTGCCGCACAGAAAAGGAACCAGAACACCCAACTGAGAATTTAAAAGGGGGTTTTACTGGCCCAGCTGGCAACTGTCCCTTCAAGAAAGTTTTCAGAAGGGAACAGCCCTGAATTGAAGTTTAGAGGGATTTTTAAAAGGTACATTTTTACATTAGTCACACAGTTAAAATTATCAAATAGTCACACACTTACAGTTACATACATAAACACATACCCTCCTGGCGTGAGGAGGGGGTTTGGGGAGGCCTAGTGCAAGCTGATGACAGAAGCTAAAAGAAGCCAGTTAATCACTTAGGGACGATGAAAACTTTCACAGGGCGGTTTCCTCCTTAGGTTGTCTAGATACATCTGGATACAGCTCTTGGTGTTATCAGTCAGGGACAGCATAGGCAGGAAACAGCAAAGGCAGGCAGAACTTAGAATGTTTCTAAGTACAGGACAATTTCTAACCTTTAATTTTTACCACAGGTGTCGGGGGGCTTTCAAACAAAGACACTTTTCAAACAGTAAAAATGGCATAAGCTAAATCAATCTACCTTGTCACAACCTAATGAATATATCATCTCCCTGCCTATTGTGTGTTTGTGCAAGGTTGCTAAATATTTTTCCCTCTTTTTTTTTTCCCTCAAGAGTCAGACCATCCACTACAATCCATGATAAAGACTAGGGAATTTTAAAAGTTTGCTCAAAGCTCTAAGCACGTGTTTGGAGTTTGTTGATGGTTAGTAACACTTGACCATTTTTGTGATACTTCCCAATATCACTATCTTCACTGGAAAGAGCTCCTAGAGGAGACTTGCAGTCTCCTGCCACTGTTCTGGAGACAAGTAATAGAGAGGGCTAGGAGCCTCGGAATTTAGCCTTCGGTATACATATATTTGTTTAGTTCTCCTATTTTAAATATATTATGTGTGACATCACCCAGCCCAGAAACCATCTATTTTACCCTGTCCACGCTTCTGCTAAAAATGAGGAATGAGAAATTGTCTAGCAGCGTGAAATGGAGGAAGTCTCATGCTAAAACTGCTTTTCTAACAGTGTTCCACCTGTCCTCATTATCCTCTCTCCTACCCCCTTTACCCCAATTCTTGATACATCCTGCCATTTCCTGAGCTATTTGAGGAGTTTATATTGTAGACAGGATTGGTTCTCGGCTTTCCCTTTGCAGGTGCCATTCACCCATCTGCTCTACAGCTGCAAATTTTCTTTGCTCTTGTCCTCTCCTCTTTTCTACCTCCTTGTGGGTTCTTCTTAAAAATATGCATCACTGTGGTTTTGGGGTAAAAGTAACATATGTGTGTTGAATTCATCATTATTATGCAGAATTCCAAATAGATCTCCTCTGTTATTGTTTGTTATAGCCCTCTAGTGGTTTTCTTTAGGACACGCATCAAAATCTGTATTTTAAAATGTATTTGCTTTGTTGCCTGTCTCCTCCAGTAGGATGTGTCACGAGTGTAGGAATCAGGTCTGTATTATTCATCTGATGTTCCCCCACCCTATCTCAGTGCCTTTTACATATTGGGCATTGAATACTTGTTGATTGGAAGAGCCGCATTTATCAAACACTCACCATGTGCCAGGTGCTGCTCCCACCCATTCACTTGTATTATCTCAGCCAGCCCTCCCTTTCTTCCCTTGAGATAAGTGCTTTTTATTGTCAAGCTCACCTTTCAGATGAAGAAACTGAGAAATAGGGTTATGGAGTTGCCCAAAGTCTCACAACACAGGTGATCTGAGCCCAGATACCAGGCTCCAGAACCCATAGCCTCATCACTATGTATACAATTGCTTAAATTAGTGACTAATTCCCAGAGCATCCCTTTAGGGTGAAGCTGTTGTTATCCTCATCTTCCAGATAGGGAAATTGGGATTCATGTAGGGTAAATAACTTGCCTTAGGTTGTTTAACTAGTAAGTGGTACACAAGGAATCCAGCCCTGAAGTTCTTAACCACTGGATATAATGCCACAGTGCCAGCAGCTGCTCAAAACAGCTGTGCATGAATATTTATGTACATGTTAAAGCTAAAGGACTATAGCCAAAAGCCACAGTGCAGAACAACAAATGGCAGTGTTATCAATTTAGTTAAGCACATTTCTAAATGCTATTTATTTAATTAGGACCTTCTGATTTGAAGAGAGAGATGTAGACATAAAAGTATTTACATTGCTGACTCTTTGATATAAAAATGTAAGGCCTGTGTGGGACACACACACACACCTAACAAAGTCTTAAATAAAGCTCACCTTTGATGATAGAAATATAGCAACTCTTAGGTGTAAATACATTTGGGATCTGGAGTTAGATACCTGGCTTGAATGCTCACGCCCTTCTCACTAGCTGTCACTTAACTCCCTATCTGTAGTTCAGACTCTTTGTCTGTAAGGTGAAGATACAGGTTGAGTATCCCTTACCTGAAATGCTTGGGACCAGAAATGTTTAGGATTTCATTTTTGGGGGGATTTTGGAATATCTGCAGAATACATATTGGTTAATCATCCCTAATCTGAAAACCTTTAGAGCATTAGGTTGCCATGCTCAAAAAGTTTCAGAATTTGGAGCATTTTAGATTTCAGATTTTCAGATTAGGAATGTTCAACCCGTATGATAGACTCTACTTTGAAGTATGTTGGGAGGGTTAAATGGTAGCATATGTACCTATGGCTAAGTAGAAAGTGTTCAATAATTATTAGCTATTATAATTAATACAGTGTTATATAGTTTAGTGCTAATTGTTTTTCCTTATATTTGTCAGACATTGGCATTTATATTTACATATCCTTGTAAGTGCAGAGACAAATACATAATACCCCCCAATTTAGAAAAGTTTCTAAAGCTTTTTTCCCATGTGCTAAAGACCCCACTTTAGCACTGATGGGCTGTCTATCAACTTATCAGTTAGCACCTTCTCTACTTCTCCATTTTCTACTCTTCTGTGGCTGAGGCTCCGTAACAGAGGCCATCTCCCAGAGGAAAACATTTTTTGAACATTTATAAGAGTAACAGTCTACCATTTGTATTAAAATAACCATGCTCTTACATACCACCTTCCTCAAAAAAACAATTAAGTAGAACATAGCAATCCAAGTTCATGAATAAATCATATGAAGGGAGAACATGTTGCAAAAATATTGCTAATAGCTACAGACTATCTAGTTAACAAGCAGGACTTGGGTAGTATACAATGAAAATATGCCCAGGTCTTCTGTATTTCATTCCTTAGCCTCTCTGCAGTGGACTGTATGCTGCCACCTTGTGGTTAGGTAACATTTTCAAAGGGATAATATTAATGCAGTTAAGATGGATAAATAGTGAAAATATTCGTTATATGTACTTTAAAAAAATTATCACATACACACAATAATCACAGATGTTTCAGTATTTGTTGCTAAAAAATCTCACTTCCAATAAAAAAAAAGGCAACTATGTCTCTGTACATTGGTCATTATAATATTCCTTGAACTTATCATTAGTGTTATTTTGGTTATTCAGTGTATCTGTGTTTTATTTATTTTATTTTTATTTTTTTCCTTTTTTTTGTCTTTTTTTGTGACCGGCAACGGATCGCAACCCTCAGTGTCGCGCCCGTACTGGACCGGGACCGGCTACGGGATCGCAACCCTCGGTGTTGCTCCCGCACCTCGCTCAGCCAGTGAGCGGCCGGTCTGTATGTGGGATCCGAACCCTTGGCAGGAGCGCCGCCGCGCTTCCCAAGCGGCGCACTGTAGCAGTGCGCCACTGGGCCGGCCCAGTGTATCTGTGTTTTAGTCTCCTCATCTGAAGAACAGAGTGGGGATGGAGGATAAGCAGGATTAAGGGAATTCTAATGACACATTTGCAATACTAAATGATATTTGGTAGTGTGAATTTAAGAATAATGCTTTGGAAAAATATACAAACCTCTCTATATCCCCTAAAAGTTATCTGTTAGAATATTATAGCAATGACTTCTCAGGGTGAAAAAACTTCCTGCTATATAACTCTTAGGAAGGGGAGGCAGGAAATTTCTGAGTCCACCAAGAATGAGAGTGACTGTCTAGAATTTATCAGGAGATGTATTTTTAAAAATACACATCTGAAAAAGAAAATTACATACAATCTAATTTCATTTTCTTTACATTATTTTAGTGAGTGTTCTTTAAAATGAATCTCAAATAACAATGCATATACTGTTTACTAATTTACGTTTCATTAGACTGAGATAATTCATTAAACTTGTAAAGAGAACCTGGACTAAAGAAGTCAGTAGCACAGGTAAGAGTTTTATTTGGCAATGCATAAATACAAGCATATTAGAAGAATAGAATTACCCAGGTACGCACATTTGAATTTTTGGAAAGCTGTCCAGCAGCCACATCCCGTTCTGTTCAACTCTCTCTTGTTTCTAGCAATTCCTAGGACAGCCAAGTTGGCCGGTACCTTCCCAACTGATGCTGAGATGAACTGAGCTGTGAGAAGTGCCACATGGTTCGAGGCCCATTGCCCTTCAATTCACAAATTCTGTGCAAGTGGCAGAAGGACTCATGCTTACATTTTACTTAAAATTATGAACATACTAACCACAGAACACCTTACGTACAAAGGTACAAGAGGACAGTGGAAAGAACATAATGTCAAAGAATGACTAGCCTTCTAAGCTTCAGTTTGTAAATCTGGCAAATGCATATAAATTTGTAATGATTCCCTGGCGAACTGTACTCCACAAATATAAGGCATTATGTTATAGAAATCTCTATTATCTAGCTAAGTCATAATCACAACAGGGAGGAAATCAGCAAATGGGTGAGGGAGTTGCCCACTATCTGACTTATCTTAATAAAGATTGGATTTCAGTATAGGTCATTTTCAAATATTAGTAAATGATATATACATATTTTGTAACATTCAGTTTGGCTTATATTTCATAACCTAAACTCCAACCAACCAAAACTTTAAAAATAAACACTTCTTATTAAGAAAGAGGTCATAAATGAATTAGTCATCAGTGCTTTGAGTAAAAACTCAAGGATAATTATAAAAAATGGATATGTTTCATATATATTATCCTTTCTAAGGATATTAATATTTGGTTTATAATACTAGTTAACATAATATATCAAAAGGGGATACCTGGATAATGCATTTTGTAGATGATACTCAAGGCTGACAAATCTCATACTGGCACAATGGTAGGCCAAAGGGAGAAAATCCCTAAAAACAGGAGAGCATCATGATTCATTATGACTATATCCATTTAATGCAATGCTGGAACAAAGAACTGCCAAACTGGAGGAATCTAGCTTTACAAAGTAAAATCAATTTCTTTACCTTTGGTTATGTTACATAACTTTAAGTGAGCTAAGTTGAGGAAAAGGAGAACTTTAGAAATCTAAAAACTTAATGGAATCATTTTTTATTAATAAAAAATTAAGATAAAAGTCATAAAGATTTTATATGTGAAACAGGTCATTATACACAAAGAAACTGTAAGAACTGGTGACAAAAGTATTTTTAAAGTATTTTTTAATCCATGAGTAATAAAGAGATGACTAAGATCTATAGAAAATCATACCTGAATATTCATATCATACATTTGAAAAAAAATAATTAGCTACTTCTCCTATATGAACTCATGTGGGAGAATAAAGATGGAGAAATAGACTTCCACTTCAAATCATATTATTTATTTTTCTTCTCATTATTCTTAAAGTAATATTTTCTTCCTCTCCTAGGATCAGATGTTTAAGGAGCTGCTCACATATGATGCGCCTCACCTTCTGCAAGATTTGGACACATATTTAGGGGAAAAAGAGTGGTTTATTGGTAACTCTGTGAGTATGTTTTATATCTTAAAAAATACAAGCAAAAATACATATGTATGTATATATGTATACACATGTATTAGTCATTTTCTATCACTTATAGCAAAAATACTTGAAACTATATGATTTGTAAGAGAATGAAATTTATTGCTTAAAGTTTTGGAGGCTGGAAGTCCAAAGTTCAGGGAACACATCTGGTGGAGGCTTTCTTTTGTGGTGACTTCAGTGACAGCAGTGTATCATGTTGCAAAATGGTGAAGCAGAGAGAGACTCTCATGTGTTTTCCTTTTAAATCCCTCAGAACCATGCCTATGACCACCATTATTAATCTATTTATTATGGCATGGTCCTAACAATCTAATCAACTCTTCAAGGCCCCACCTTTCAACTACCATAATATGATTTCCCACCCTCTTAACAGTTACAGTAGGGATTAAGCTTCTAATATATGAAGTTTGGGGGACACAGTTTGATCAATCCACAGCAACACACATGTATATATTTAAATAAAAGGATAAACAAAAAAACTTATAAAAACTTATTGAAAAAAAATGTTAGCCATTGGGAGGAAATAAGGCATACAGAGGAAGAAAAGCTAAACTTCTTTAGATAAACCTTTTTTAGTAGATTTGACTCTGGGTCCATGACATATTTTATATAACAACAACAACAATTTTAAAAAGCTTATATATTCTATTAGTGAAGAATTATTTCAAGAAATATAATCATTTGTAAAACACAATAATTTGATTACACATCTCAAGTTAGATTTTCTCTCAGAACAAAAAATAAAAATCATACACCATTTTTAGTAATCATATTGGTAGTACAAGGCAATGTTGGTATTGTTTTTCTAGTATTATATCCATATTGTGTGCAAAGAAATAAATTCTATTGATGTCATTGCGAACTGTATCTTCAGTGTGGGAGAAAGGAGATAGAGATGTAAGATCAGTGAAGGTTAAGTTAATATCATTTCTGAACTTGAACTAGAGGTAACAGCATAAACTCATGATGTACTTTATCTCAGGATAAAGAAAAAAACATTTTGTATCTCTTTTTCTTGAAACAATGACCAACCAAGTAGTTCTGAGCACCCCTAGTACCCAGATTCTGGTCTCTTAAATATTAAAAGGAACCAGGGCTTCTTGGAGAAATGGCTTATTCTCAATTTGGGACAGAAAATGTAAAAGATGAGGTGCGAGTACTTTGTCATGATAAAAGCAAATTAATTACCAAAGACTATTGGGGGCTGTATCAAAAGGACTCAGAAATTGACTTGAAAGCTTCCTATTGGCCAAAGATGTGAAAATTCACACTTCAATAAACATATTAACAGCAGTGGATTGAAACAAGTCAAAATGAATGAATACAGAAGTTTATGACAACCAGCACCACCGCTACCAAACACAGACCCACACACAAGACACCAAAACCAAGCTTGATTGCTTACTTTTAGAAGATGCTATGGAGACACATCATTCTGAAAACTGTTTAAAACACACACAATAGATGGAGGGTTTGAATAAAAGATTTATCCTGTCTTCCCTATGCAAATTCTACCTCAAGGTAACAGAAATTGATTGGACAGTTTCTCCTTATAAAAGTATTCCAGTTAATAAATAAAAAGAAAAGATTATGCCTAGGCATTGACCATCATTAATTGCTAATATCACAAAAAAGTGAGACCATCAGATACTATGGACCTACTGATGGAGGGGCACACCACCACCTATGAGTAGTCTTGCCAAAAATCACATCTAAATCTGAATTAAATGCTGTGGTAGGTGAAGGTCCCTGCCTTCAAGGCGATTGTATTCTAGGAGACAAGACACAGATCACTTTTTTGCAGCTTTTACTCTGATCACTTTTCAGTCCTGGGTGAAACAGAAGTAAACTTGCTACATCTTTACTCTCAACTTCCAACCTCATCACACACCCATTCATTTCTTCCTATTGACTCCCCTCATAGCATTTCCTAAAACATTCCTCTCTCTACCCTATTTATTGAATAATTTCTAGGGATTAAACCTTTTTTTTCTGTTTTCTATTAAAATTCCTTTGTAAACTACCTCCTGACCCCATCCCTGAGCACTCTCTCCCTTCCTCATGTGCTCCAAACACACTGGTTTTTGTTTGTTCTGCAAACACAAGTCACACTCCCACTTAAGAGCCTTTACACTTGCTGTTCCCTCTGCCTGGAATGCATAATCCTCATATGGCTGCATGTGTGGATTGTTCTTTTAATCATTCAAGCCTTGGGTTACATGTCACCGCTTAAAGATACTCCCCTGACCACCTGATAGTCCATCTCATCACTACTTTTTCTTTCTTTTTTTTTTTTTTTTTTTTAAAGATGACTGGTAAGGGGATCTTAACCCTTGACTTGGTGTTGTCAGCACCATGCTCACCCAGTGAGCAAACCGGCCATCCCTATATAGGATCCGAACCCGTGGCCTTGGTGTTGTCAGCACCGCACTCTCCCAAGTGAGCCACGGGGCCGGCCCTTCATCACTACTTTTTCTACATCACCCCTTTTAGTTTGCATAGTTGTCTTCCCCTTCTGAAATGCAAGCCACAGCAGAGAAGGGGCTTGCAGCACATCTTGCTCTGCAGTCAATCCCCAGCACCTAGACCTGGGCATAGCACACAGGAGGTGCTCGATAAATATTTTTTGGCTGAACTCTGAATTGTCTGACCAATAGCCTTAGCTGACATGGTTAGTAAGCAAGTTCATGAAACACTAGCAATCAGCTTTATTGAATTCCATACAAAAAACCCACTAATATTAGTTGACATTTAAACTTCACTCTGGCTGATATTCCTATAGAGCCAAAGTAACATCATGTCACAAAGGAAAAAACACCCAACTGTACAAGGGTAGGACCAGGCTGTTGTCCCCCTAATCCAGTGGCCAATCTTAAAATCCCACTAAAGACCAGACACACATACATTATTTCTTCTGATGTGAAGCAATATATAATGTATTTTAGCCAAAAATATTTTTCTTGAAACTATAAACCTAGAATAACTTGCACCCTATTCCTTTACATGCTATAGTATAAAGGAACAAGGTAGACAACAAGATGAAATAATCACACAGATCCTAAAGACAGGACATTTTGCAGGACGAGTGTGGAATCTTCAACAGCTCAGTGACATGAAAAAAAGGGTAATGTTCTGAATTAATAGAGAAAAAAGACATAACAAGATAAAATGTATGGCTCTGGAATGGATCCTGCTTTGTACTGTAAAGGACACTTTTGGAACAGATGGAAAAATATGGATTGGGTATTAGAAAGATGAAAATGTACTGTCACAGAGAAGTTACAAAAGAGTATGTACCATAAGACTTCATGTTAATAAAAATACATCTATCTGCAAAGAAAAATTCCTCACACACTAAGGTGTTAGTGGTAGTAACCTCCAGATGTTGGGCGTATGATGTTATCTGCAATTTTCTAAATTTCTATCATACACATTCTGCTTTTGTAATAAAATTGTTTTGAATTAAAAAGAAACTATCAATTTGATTAAGAAATTAAATGTAATTTTGGAATGCTGATAAAGTTATACCTTTTATTTTCAATTGAAAAATTGTTTTCTTTAAACTAGGTAACTTGGGCAGATTTCTACTGGGATATTTGCAGTACCACACTTTTGGTCTTTAAACCGGACTTACTGGACATCCATCCCAGGCTGGTGACTTTACAGAAGAAAGTCCAAACCATTCCTGCCATTGCTGACTGGATACAACGGAGGCCCCAAACCAAACTCTAGCTGCTACATGGTGCCTTCAAGCTTTGTTATTCTTCCCAGCATCTCTCCCATCAGACAAGACAGCTATATCAGCCTGCCAGATAATTCACACACTCCCCTCCCCAGCTTCACTGAGACTTTCACTTTTGCCACATTCTGCTTAAAAACAGAAGAAAAAAAAAAAAGCATTTAGTTTCCAGTATCTTTTTTTCTAGTATAGCTTCACATCATTTATAATTGTGGTAAATTGTTTACAATTCAAGTAGACCTCGCTTTACACTGGTTCCAACATGCATGAATTTCAGTCACAATGGTTTAGTTAAATAACACCAGTTTCCCCCCCAAATGGCTTGGACTTCAGTTACCATGCTATATTAATTGTAATTGCATAAAATACAAACTTTTGTGTTTAGTCCACAAATCACTATGTAAATAACAGATGCACATCATGACCAGTGATGGCACTTCTCTCAAAGACTGTCAGTGACTGGTCACTGCATATCTGTTATTCACTAATGGACGGCGAAGCATGTAGTTGTATTACCTGTTTCCCAGTGATCAATCCACTTAACTTTCTACAAAACTGGATAATCAAAAAAGGGAACTCACCAACAAAAATAAAAGTACAGCAAAGAAATGAAAAGTGATAATGCTGGAGTGAAATTCAAATTGAACATAAATGGAGTAATAGAAAAAAGAGCTGTGGGAATTTGGCACTGCTGCAGATCAAGAGGCTCTAGATATGCAGCCAGATGAACATAGTGAAGATGAACTTATGGACATAAGTGAGAAAAGTGATTGTGACAAATAAGCTGTAGATGTCCCAAAGGAAATGACAATGGCAAAAAACATCACATTAAAGGAAAAGAGATCAAGATAATGAGAAGATAAGCCATAGACTTGGAGAAAATATTTGCAAAACACATACCTGGCAAAGGACTATTATCCAAAATATACAAAAAACTCTTAAAACTCAACAATAAGAACCTGATTAAAAAATGGGCACAAGACTTGAACCCAACAAAAGATGTGTGGATAGCAATAAGCAGATGAAGAGATGCTCAACACAATGTCACTAGGGAATTGCAAATTAAAACAATCAGATACCACTTCACACCTATTAGAACGGCAAAAGTCCAAAATATAGACAGCACCAATTGGTGGTGAAAAGGTGGAGCAATAGGAACTCTCATTCACTGGTGGTAGGAATGCAAAATCATATAGCCAACTTGAAAGATAGTTTGGCAGTTCCTTACAAAACTAAACATGCTCTTACCATACAATCTAGCAATCACACCCCTTGGTATTTATCCAAATGAGCTGAAAACATGCCCACCAAAAACCTGCACACAGATGTTTATAGCAGCTTTATTCACAATTGCCAAAACTTAGGAGTCACGAAGATGTCCTTCAGTAGGTGAATGAATAAATACATGGTATATCCAGCAAAAGAATGTATTACTGCTAAGAAGAATGAGCTATCAAACCATGAAAAAGTTGGAAGAAATTTAAATGCATATTACTAAGTGAAAGAAGCCAACCTGAAAAGGTTACATACTATATGTCTCCAACTATAAGATATTCTGAAAAAGGCAAAACTATAGAGACGATATAAAGATGAGTAGTTGCCAGGGATTGAGGGGAAGAAGGGATGAACAGGCAGCAGAGGGTTTTTGGGCAGTTCAACTGTTGTGTATGATCCTATGATGATGGATACTTATCATTATACATTTGTCAATCTCCACAGAATGTACACCACCAAGAATAAACCTTAAAGTATGGAGTTTGGGTGATGAAGAGTCAAAGTAGGTTCGCTGACTGCAGCAAATGTACTGTACAATCCTGGTTTGGGATGTTGATAGTGGGGGAGGCTGTGCATGGTATGGAATGTTGTTGGTGGGGTATATGGGAACTTGGTACTTTCTGTTCAATTTTGCTATGAACTAAAATCTGCTCTAAAAAATAAACATCTATGAAAAAAAGATGTTTTATGATGAAAGAGCAATAAAATGGAGGCTGATATAAACTGGCAAAGCATTAAAAAAATGCTCAATTGTAAGTTACACAATGAGACATTAGTGTTCAATCTACTTGGTGATTTGTTTTTATAAAAATAAAACTAATTTTCTAAGCTTCTAACATCTCACAGGGTAAAAATGAATATTAATTTTACTATTTTTTCATTTTCTTATACATTCATAATCAACAATAAGTTTTTAATGTATTGACAAAATTCTTTGAAGGTCATGGATAATCATAATTTTCCCCAGCAATTATTAAAATTGTTTTGCACAGTTTCAACATGCAGTCGCTTTTACAATTCCACACTACTGTGGAAAGCAAGAACTGCCTGTGTAAATAAGCTATTTAAACAAAATCTTCCAGATAACTTCACATTTAGATGATCCTCCAGAAACCTATTTTAAACTATATTATTGGAACATCATATTTTAGTTTAATTGACATATTGATATAATACTGGAGTTTACTTTTAGTATGCCAGATCATATATGTGAACAGACTAATAAAATAGATGAAGTGAAGAGGAAAGAGAACACTGAGTTGAGAAGCCAAAAAATGGGGGGGGGGGGGGGGGAGGGAAGGAAAAAAAAGCCCAGCTAGGTATGATCTTATTTAAGGTGCTTTCCTCCCAACAATTTTCTATGAAATTGGAAAAAGATGTTAAATACTTCATAAATTATTAAAGATTACACAGAAGAACAAAGCATATTTCTCAAATACCTTGATTCTCTGAATCAAATTTCCTTGTCATTAGTGGCTGTTAATAAATGGTAAGTGAGGGCCGGCCCTGTGGTGCACTCGGGAGAGTGCAGCGCTTGGGTGCGCGGTGGTGCTCCTGCCGCGGGTTCGGATCCTATATAGGCATGGCCAGTACGCTCCCTGGCTGAGTGTGGTGTGGCCGGTCACAAAAAAAAAGACAAAAAAAATGGTAAGTGAACCTCATTACAGAACACTCACCATGTAATCAAGGCAGTCTAAAGAAAAAAAATTATCTTTAACAAAAGAAATTCAAATAATACTCCAGATGATAAAGGTCATAACTTTTCTTCCCTCTTATGCATGGCCATTTTCCTTTTTAATATTGACAAGTTTAATGAAAACAGAATTTAGTAAAAGTGATGAATACAATGCTTATACAAAATTATGAAAATTCAAGATAAGATAATTAGTCCTATGAGTTTACACAAATCATAATTCAAGTGTAAAATGCAACCACAGCAGGTTCATAAGGAAATATTTGGCATCATTGTAACCTTTAGGTCATCTTTTTGCACTGAAGGACAACACATTCCATTTATCTCTCCCTGTACCCAAATTAAATGCCTCCTTCCTTACAGAGAAAGACAGCAGAGGTGGGAGAGGGTAAATCAGAGCAGAGATTGAACTGCATGTAATATTTACAATCAGAAAAAAATAACACACATTTCGGGAAGAAGAGTTAAAAATCGATATCTTAATTTTATGAATTGCTTAAGTGACATGCTTAAGGTCACACAAATGGTCACCAAATTTCTTGATACCCCTATCTCTCCACTGTGCAATAACACCGAACTGTTAGGAAAAATATCAACGTTTTAATATAAAAATCTACTGGCATAAAGTTAAAGTTATGGGGTTGCAAATAGTTATGAAAACACATAAAGCATATCTTCTATACCTGTATAACTTGCATTAAAAAAAAATGGTTGCAGTTGGTCAAGATATTACTCCAACAACTGTGGCCTCATCTACTTTTTACTGATCATGGATTATGATGTTAACTGAATCAGCCCAATGAAGGGACTAATGAAAATACACCCTGAGCAATAAATTCCAATTTACTGACAGACAATATTAAAGTATGTAAGATGATATCACTTGTGCTCAATATTACGTATTTTTAAAGGTACAGGGAGGGAGGGTTAGAAACTATTAAAAAGGGTGTGTAAAATAGGATCACAGATATTTTTATTAAGCCCAAGACTTAAAAGTAGTACATGGAGAACCCAACTACATTTCATTAGAAATAAAAATAGGTATAACAACAACAACAAAAGAAACAGCCTATCATTGAAGATACATTAGTACAGAAAAGTTACGAGAAATCCATTATGAGTTTTTAAAAGGTAATATTCTCAACAATTTGATTAAGTGATTTGGGTACTGTGATGCAAGAGGAGGTAGTATTAACATTTGCAGATTCCGTTTACCCCTGTAACACTAAAATATATTCAATATGTTCAACATACTTTCAAAATTGGGTAAGTCTACTGGGTCATGAGATTTCAGAGTCTTTAATATTTAAAGAATCTCCATAAGAGCTTTATTCACCTTCTAAATCCAGAGCGTTATAATACCTAGCATCTTAGCAAGTTAGGATGCCATGAAAAGTATGATCTCCAAAAATTAACAAATCTTTGATTTATAAATAAGTTTATTTATAAGGATATTTACATAATAAAAACAAAACACATAAAACTCACAAGTTATACAAAGAAACTGATGTGTAATAAAAACAGCAATATAGACTGACAGGCAAAAAATTAAAGAAAGACTTAATAAAGAGTTCAATATCAAATAGACAACTTTACTTCTTCTAAATTTCACTTGTCACCCACACTGAATTGGAATTGAACAATGGCTCTCTATTCAGGAGGTCCTGTACTGGAAATTCTGGAAACTGGTAATTATATAAGAGCTTAAAGTTAATGACCTATTTCCATGCAGTACCTAATGCTGCCTTAATATGAAGTCACATTTGACCTGCTTTGAAGTGAATCGCTTTAAGTTAATCTGTTCTGCCAGGCTAGAAAAATGTCACCAACATTTTGCTGATGCTGAAGACATGGCAGGAATAAACTACTATTTAGAGAGGAAGAGAACTGGAGCAGAAGTGACTGGGCAACAGTTTTAAGAGAAGCAAAAGCCTGGAAAGGGAAATCATTGAAAACATGCACAAGAATAGATAGAGTAATAAGCACTATTAGTGCGGTTGGGAAGTGAACAGAAGGAATTAATCCATGGAGCAAGACATGGGCTTCTTTAGTTACTACTCACTGGAAAACAACTTAGTGCCTAGCCAAAGAAACTTGTTTTAACACAAGTCCGTGCGAGGACCTGGGGGATGTTAGCACATGGAATGCCACCTTTAAATCCAGGATGAGTTCTTGCTGACACTGGTGAACATCTGCTTCAAATAGCAATAAAACCAAAGCCACACACTCTATACAGCTGCATTCTTTAAACTAATATAAAAAAGAACTTCAAATGGGACAAGCAAAAACAAGACATAAGCATTGTCAAATAAGGCACATGTAAAAATCTACACACATTATCCAGTGAAAGACAATATATATATATTTGGAGGTAGAAATAATTACAAAAATACTGACATTTCTAAAGCGTTAGCATATTTGTTACAAACAATCACCAACTAATCCCCGTTCATAAAACTGCTTTGTAAAATGATTATTCAACATCTTCAGGACTACATATTTGTGGCTTTTTTTGAAATTTCACGTATGAGTTATCTGGAGAATTCAGTTAGTGGCAAAAAAGTTGTCCATATTATGAGAAATGCAATATGGAAATTATAAAAAGATATAAATGTTCATAAACCCCATGGTCATCATAATGTAAATGTCCTTGAGTGCACCAAGTTGATTATTTCCTCATCACTTAGGAATTCACAATCCTTATTTCACAGGCCCATTGACGTTTTTAGTAATGTGGCTATATCTGCTGGCATACTCCCTTCATCACCTGCAGGTCAAAAAATGGCATTAAAAACTTTATAAAAATATTTTGTCTTATAAAATATATTCTCTCTCAATTTTTTCTTTCTTTGGTGAAATCCTATTCATCTTTCAAGTGCCAGTTTGCTTCAGTGTCACCCCCTGTTAAAAACGTTCCCTAACCCTTTCATATAATAGGGTTATTAATATCCTCTGTATTCTTGTTCATATTGTGTTTCTGCCTTTATACAGATACATATAAAAATACATAGATATTGATACTTTTGGAACATATCTAATTCATACAGCACATGGTACTTCTCACATTTGTTAAATAATAAAGATAAAAAATCACTGATTTAGACCCATTTACACACACAGAATTCTGAGTACAGCATACCAGCTAAGGATTAAATTAGCCAATGTAAATTACTTTTTATGTATCCAAAGTTTACCCCATATTTTAATTAAAGGGGTCCGAGTATCTAAACATTTAAAAAATATTATTCAGGATTTTCTAAGACTTGAAAACACCTTTGTGTCACGGAGGCATGGAATCTTGCCATCCCTAATTAATTCAATTAAGTACTAAGAATATTTTTAGATAAATTTATTTATTAATTTACTAGTTTTTGACAATGGCACAGCTGGCATTTCACAAATATTTGCAGACCTGTTGCACATTTGCAGCTATGAATAATTTTATAAATTAGATGTGGCTAAAATGCAGCAAAACCAATTACTTTTCTCTCTCTCTTCCTCTGTCATAAACACACTTGTTATAATCTAAAACTATAAGAGTACTTTTACCTACTCTTCTCTTTTCTGAGAAAGACAGAAATATGCACAGGAACAAAAATATTGCATAAACTCTTAGGGAGTTCACTAATACCCTTGCTTCCAAGTTCATATGTATAATTGAAAATAGCCCATAAAACACAAGTTGACACTTGTCCTAAATTAACTGATACCATGCGAGGAGGAATGAAGGGAGAAAAGAAAAGAAGGAAAAGAGTAAAGAGACTCTTCTAAATTTAAATGCACTAAAGATATAATACAGTATAATAAAATGCCATGTATGAACTTTGATTGGATCCTGGTTTTAAAAAATAAGCTGTAAAAAACATTAAAAGGATAATTATGAGCAATTTGGATATGGACAATATATGATTAATATCTGAAAATTATTGTTAATTTTCTTGGATGCAATAATGGTATTGTGGCAATTTAGAGGAATATGGTAATACTGAGAAGGAATTGCCATGTTAACAACTAACTTTGTAATGGTTCGATGGGGAAAAAAGTCAATGAAGCAAACACTGAAAATGTCACAACTGTTAAAACATTGTGCTTTCATCCATACGATGCTTTCAATGTTTTTGTTTAAAAATTTCTGTAACAAAAACGTTTAAAAAGGTAGAAAACCTATTAATATAATTAATCACATTAAAGGAGATTAAAAAAAACAAAACGAAACTGATAGATTTTGAACATAACCAGTGCCATTTTAGGCAAGGCCAAGCACAAAATGGCCACCAGCCCCCGCCTCCTTTTCCTTAAGAGAAGCCTTGTGACTTCTGTGAAGTAGAAACCCTTTTGGCTTCCGCATAGGAGCAATTTTCCACCTCAGTTGCATCAGCCAGGTGGAGCTTCTGCACTAGCATAATGCTCCTTCTTTAATTGCATCAGCCAGCCCTGACACCCTACAGCTTATATAAGCTCTCCCACCCTGATGCCTGGTGCTGCTCTCCACTTTGAGGGCAGCCCCAGCTGCTGCTCTCCATTTTTAGGGCAGCCTGGCAGACTTTTTCCTTTAATAAAGCTTGATCGGTACCTGGTGTTTCGGCCCACTTTTCTTTCAAAAACAAACACCCCCAAAACACAATCTGTATTTTAAAGCAGTGGTGCTCTGATTTTAGCCTGTATCAGAATCACCTGGAAGGTTTGTTAAACCACAGATTATTGAGTCTCATCCCCAGTTTCTGACTGAGTAGGTACAGAATGGGGTTTGGGAATCTGCATTTCAAATTTGTAATTTGGTGATTTCCCAGGTGATGCTGCTCCTGTTGCTTGTCCAGGGACTGCACTTTGAGAATCACTAAGGCAAGCTCTAAAAACACAAAAATATGATAAGAATAATTGTGAGGAATCATGGTCTTTTTCTAACCTTTCATAGTTTCATGGAAGAGGGAGCACACAGACTGTGAACATAAGTCACACACACACTCAATTATAAATATATCTTTTGTTTACAGAGGAAAAAGATCTCACTGTGAGAGATGGAAGGAAAGGCATACATGTACTCTCATCAGTTCAGTGTCAAAATTATTTAAATGAAAACAGGGTACTGCTGAGGGCAATTTATAGTTAGAGAGTAAATAAAAGACATCATTGTAACCTTAGTTTACCAGATAAAACACACACTGAGAAAACCTGATATAAAAATAGCTTTAACAAGACAAAGGAGGAAAACTTCCTACAGAAGAGAAGGGGGGTGAGGAAAATTCTTTCTAACTAAACATTTCAAAGCTAATGGCCTGAGAGTATAGCTGAAATAAGTTGCTATTTTAACCAAGCATTTGAGGTGAAAACAACAGGCAAATTTTTAGACTGTCCAAATTTATATGAATACACATAATTTTACATCAGTTATGATCAAAAATGATTGAACATACACATCACCTCTGCTGTCACCAAAATACCATTAAAATACTATGGGGAAAAAAGTGGAGGGGGAAGGGCTGGCAGGGAGAAGGTGTTAAACAAAAGAGAAAGAACAGGAGAAAAAGACAAGAGCAGACAGAGAGCTGTCAAAAAATTTGGAAGAGAAAATAGCAGAACAAAGCAAAAACTTAAGTATCTGCAGGTAAGAAATGCAAGGCTACTTCGTACCCAGAATCCCTAACCCTCACCCCCAAAGCTAAGGAAATGGGGGTTATAGGAAACATAGGAAGCTAGAAACAGGTGAAGAGGTAGGACACCTAAAGCTTGCTCAACAGACCCAGCCATTTACCCTAGATGTACAAAATTGAAGGTTTTACTCTGGAGAATTTGAATCTCAGGAACTCTGGACTTGGGATGGTAGAGAAGAGTGAGGCTGTACTGAAAACAAAAAAATTAACTGCTGAATATGAGAACAACCCTACTTCCCTCTACTTCCCATCAGATCTGAGAATATAGTCAGCTGGCTCATACCACTTCTCCCCACCATTCTCACTGTACAAGAGATTGGAGAATATCCCTCTGGGGAAATGAATTAGCCCATGAAAAAAAACCTATAGTTAAAGACAGTTGGGAGTCCCTGAGTAATTAAGTATCTTAATTCTGTTTAGAAACTTAGTTAGGATAAAATCTATATATCTGGATATTCACTAGTCTTGCTAAAAGACAACTTAATTGCTCTACTAAATTCTAAACACTGCCCTAACAAAATAATCAGGAAAAAATACTGCCTAAGTGGAATCTGTCTTATGCATTCCCTCTATTGTATTTGTTCGATAATCTGATACTGGCAAGTTGCCACACCCACACAAAGCCTAATTAGTAATTGCTGTTAATTGTTTAAGCTATAATCATCCTACTTATCCTCACCCTTAAATGTTTAACTCATTCGTTTCTATTCAAACTTTCTCTAATGCTCACCTCCCCAATATCCCATGGCACCCTGAAACAAATGCTATACAAGAAGGACAAATATTAATTTGATCACACATATCACTGTCTGAAGACAGATTAAAATGTACTGATCCCTATACAGTACAGAGTGCCTAAAAAAATACTGGGACATAATAAATATCCAATGGAATTCTGCTGAATTGAAATAAACCATTATCAATATTAAGAATATCCATATATATTAGAATAATGAAAAAATTGCTTATTTCCAATTAAATTTAATATTAAATAAGAAAAGCAAGGTGTAGATGAGTGCATGCTAATTTGTGTAAAAATGGAGAAAGATTACATATACTTATTTATTTCTACATGCACAAAATAACTAGTCACATGCAAAAAACAAAAGGCTAATGTGTTACATCTATGGCGAAGCTGGGTGATGAGGTGGGAAGGAGACTCTTAGTTGCCAAGAAAACTACAAACTTTGTAAACATACTATCTTTTTGAAAATATATACATAAATAAAAATTTAAAACTTATAAAACTTTAAAAATTATTCCTTTCAACAGGGTGAAGTGGAGAGGAGTCATTTATTTGAGGGTTCTTTCTAGGGTCTAATTGCTTAATCTGAAAAGTTGAAATTATTAAGTTTTCCTCAAAATGAACTTTTTTTTTGCATTCTAGTGCAGTACATATTTACTAGTCAAAATGAAATTAATGTAAATATTAGCACTCTTAATAAAGTTAATTATGCCACAAAATACAGCATGCCACATATCACAAAATTGTGGGTGAAATTATAGATACAAACTTATTTTCTGAAATGTTCTTATCAGAAATAAGATGAGGGATGGAAGACACAGAATTTTCCAAAATCAAAGTGTTTATATAAATTCTGGCAAAATGAATCTTTGTTACTGTAGTACTTTTGACATAAGTGTGCTTACCTTCAACTATGTCTTCCCTAAACTGTGCGCTAGTTAAGGACTCAGACCATCTTTGTTATCTCCTGGCAATGGCTAATTTGATGCCTATCACATAAGTGAATATTGAAGTTTCTGTTTACAAACAGCTTACCTTCATCTACTGTAGTCATATCTTGTTCTAGTTTCAATTTCTGTTGGTTAATTTTTAGCATGGATTCTTCAATCGTCCCTTGGCTTATTAATTTTATAACTAGTACTTCTCTAAAAAAATACAAGATATGCCCGTAAGTTACTAAACATAAAGTTATTTGGATACATGTGAATGATATTTAGAGTTAAAAAAAAATAATTTGAAAATTATGACAAACATTTCCGTAAAATCTAAATTCTTCTTTTATTCAAACTACTCGAGACCGACATTTTCTAAGCATTTAACTCTCAGACATCTTTTCCTATTCATCCACGAAAAGAAAGATATTTGTACTGTAAAAATTAGTGATAAGGGTCTGGCTGGTTAGCTCAGTTGGTTAGAGCGTGGTGCTGATAACACCACGGTCCAGGATTCGATCCCTGTACTGGCCAGAAACAAAAAAACCCAAACCAAACCAACCAACCAAACAAAAATCTGCTGGCCAGTTAGTTCAGTTGGTTAGAGCATGGTACTTATAGCACCAAAGTCTGGGGTTTGATCCCTGTATCAGCCAGCAGGGGGAAAAAAATTAGTGATAAAACTGTATCACAACCAACAGTTTTGTGTACAGATTGAAATCACAATTTCAAAAGAAACATGCTTTGATTATCAGGTTCTAAGAAATGATTCTGTAAAGGACAAAGCTCCACAATTAATATCTTGAACAAATACTGATAAATATTTGGCCCCAGAATGAATATATCAATGTCATTTGGAAAAATAAAATGATCCACAAAAGACATTGACTGCTGTTTACATATGAAAGTAGAGTTGAATTAACCTTCACTTAAAATAATCTACAACTCAATCTATTTCCTAAAGAATAACAAAGTAGCAATAGTAGTACAATACCAAGTCTGTCTGGCCCTTAAACAGCCTAACAAGCAACTCTTTCCAATTACTAAATCTTTTCTTCAGGAATTGCAGAACTATTCAGGGTGAGAGTGGGAGGGTACTTTAATTCTAGAAAATGGATAGGTTATGTAATGGAGTTCATAGTCCACACTGCTGATATAAAATACATTAGCAGGGCTGGCCAGTTAGCTCTGCTGGTTAGAGCGCAGTGTTAATAACACCAAGGTCAAGGGTTTGGATCCCTGTATTGGCGAGCAGCCAAAAAAAAAAAAAAAAAAAAAAAAAAGAAAAGATAACATACATCATCAGGCACATTTTGCTGAAAAATATAAAAACCAAGATATGATATCCAAGATACTATATTCTAATAATCTATACAAATTAAACTGGTGTTTGATTAAAAACAATTTTCAACTGAAAACACTTACTTAGTCTGGCCTACTCTATGACATCTATCTTCTGCTTGTTTGTCATTATAAGGATTGCAGTCAATATCATGAAGTATAACAACATTTGCTGAAGTCAGATTTATTCCTAATCCACCAGCTTTTGTTGACAGCAGAAACACAAAGATATCCATATCTGTATTAAACTCATCAATTAGATGAATCCTATAAGATAAATATATTAAGATAAATCTCACTGAAAGGTGCGTAATGTAATTAAAACAGACAACAATCACATCACATGGATAAGAAACCTGAAGACGAAAATACATTCTGGCATATGGCTTTTCAATCTTTAATGTTCTCAGATTATGTAACTGATGAACCAAGGATTTCAAGATCAAATTGTATCAGTATATATACTTTTTTAACATGATTTTTACCCTTACTCTAATGCAGGGGAAAAGAAATCACTCTGGCTGATTAAAAAAAAAAAAAAATCAAAATACAGAATGCAATTTAAATACACTAGAAAAAAACATTCCCTGTTTTTAAAGTCAATCTTTTTAATTTTTAGGAATTAAAAAAAAAATTTACTTAACTACCCTTAAAATATAAAAAGCCTAAGATTTTCAAATAATCTTGAATAAAGGTAAGGTACTTTAGACTTTGATATTTAAAGGGAAAAACCTTAAAAAGTATATAGTAGCTGTTTCAAAATATATTTGTATGCAATTCAGACAGAATTAAAAAGAAAACTTCTCTCACTTTAAGGTAATGATTTGAAGTAACCAAACAATAAGACTCAAAGGAACAAAATTCTACCAAATGCTCTAGACATTTAAAATTCTAACAGATAATAAATAATAAATGAGTGATGTTCTAAAACTAAAGTAAGTATACCAACCTTTCAGAAATCTGAGTCTTTCCATCTAATCTGAGGTACCTATGCTGATGATGTTTTAAGAGAATCTCTAAAATATCCAGCATCATGGTAAATTGGCTAAATAATACAACTCTATCACCCTGTGAAAATACACACATGGATTAGAAACAGAAAATTAAAATTATTATACTTCATAGAGCCTTGTTAGGTCTGAACAATTAGGAGTATTACCCATTATCATGTTGACAAGTTTGCAGAAAACTCCCTATGATACAAGTATCTACTGACCAATTGCTTCTTTAAAAAAAACAAGTGATGATATCTAAGATAAATTTCTTGTTTTAGGCCAATTAGCTCAGTTGTAGCACTAAGTTCAGTTAGCTTAGTGTGACAAGGTTATTACACCACCTTGTAACAACTAATGTAGGATTCAGATCCCCATACTGGCCAGATGCCAAAAACAAAACAAAACACAACACAACACAACAAAAAAAGGAACACCAAATTTCTTGTTTTAGCTTATATATGAATAAATTACCTTAACTTCAGAAATAAAATTTAACTCTCAGTTTTGATTCAACGACAATTAAATTATCTCCTTTTCATAACAGAAAAATTTCAGCAAATGTGAATAGCTGCATAAGTACTATCTGGATTATGATCTCACAAATTTAAGCTATTTCACATAGACTGTAATATTATGTATATAACTACTTAACAAACTGTATCTTCAAAATACTAATTTTGAAAAAAAATACTAATTTTGAGGCAGTCATACAGATTATCACCTATAAAGTAATGGCAATTAAGATTGGTTTTTAAAATCATCAACACAGACACAGTTTACTAACTTCTATTGTTCTAAGGTTCCACAGAGGAAAACAAGTAAGCAGGAAGAAACATGCCTAAGTAATGTTTAGAACACTAGATTGTAGAAGACTGTAGAACAGACACAGGCTGAAGCTTCAAGAACGTTAACTCATGACAGAACTGCTTTAAGAAGTCTAACTAGGGCCGGCCGGTGGCGCACTGGATAGTGTGCCGCTTGGGAAGCGCGGCGGCGCTCCCGCCCGAGGGTTCGGATCCCACATACGGACCGGTTCCCGCTCACTGGCTGAGCGAGGCGCGGGAGCAACACCGAGGGTTGCAATCCCGTTGCCGGTCCCCGGTCCGGTACGGGGGCAACACTGAGGGTTGCGATCCGTTGCCGGACACGGAAAAAGACAAAAAAAAAAAAAAAAAAAAAAAAAAGAAA